CTGATTATTAAGGAGTTTATTAAGACATTTTGAGAACAATTTCTAAGAAATATTTAGTAATAGGCCCGTGCTTGAAAACATAAAGATGATTGGTTTATCAGAAGAAGATAGGGTTTCTTTAGAATAATATTTTCCGGAAGATGTGATCAAGGAGGAGGTTTGGAATTGCAATGGCAACAAGAGCCCTAGGTCGAATGGCTTTGGTTAAGAAGGATGTAGTTTTGTTTGTGAAGGATTTCCATTCAAATGCTAGGTTATCAAAGGCAATAATAGCTTCTTTCTTGACCTTAATTCCTAAGACCAAGAATCCTCAAAGCCATAAACAATTATAGGCCAATTTGTTTAATGAGTTGCCTTCAAAATATTTTAACCAAAATCTTGGCTAGTGGATTGAAAAAGGGTTATAGGCAACATTACATTTCTCAAGCAGAATGCTTTTGTGCCAGGTAGGAGTATTTTTTATGATGCTTAATTGCTCGATTCCAAAAAATATTTGGAGATGTGTTGAAGTTTAGTTGGGAGTTCCATTGGAGCTAGATACCAATTGTACTAATAATTTTATCAGGCACTACAAATTGTTGCAGAAAGCTCTTGGTTCTTGCACTCTTTTTAAAAGTAGAGTCTTCAACATAGAAGATGTTTTGATATCCATTAAACTTCTTTGTTGGAAATGGATTGTTATAGGCATCAATAGTATCTATGTTTGTAATTTCTATGACTGGTTTATATCTCCTTTAAACTGTCTGATTAGGAGGTAACTGGTTTTGTTTGTTGTGTTGCGCTAGAGTACTCCTTGTACTTTATTTTGGTGGTTAAATCTTACTTATAAAATAATAATGCGGAACCATTTGAAGTGTATTTACAATGATGTAATATTGTCGAGTATTTTTAATGAAATCTTTAGATGATCAATAATTTGTGCTCTATATCCATTACTAAAAAAATGTAGACTTATTAAAAGCGTATTTACAATGAAAATGATAAAATCAAATGTTTTCTATTAGATCTTGAGATAATCAATTAAAAACAAGATAGTTTGTTTATTCAATAATATTATTTTAGTTTTTGAATATATGTATAAAACACTCTAGTATTATCTATTTATTTCCAATACTTCTCTTGTGACTATTTAAGAAGTCAATAATTCTAGTCAACAACATTAATTTTTCATGAAGCTTCGTTTGAAATTTTCATAAGAGTTTTGTTGAATATAAATCATGTGCCTAGTTTGAAAACATGTGTTGGAAAATTTATTTGGGAGGACAACATCTTCTTACATAACCATGTCTCGAGATATTGTTATTTATGAGCTTGTGTTAATTGCATATGTTGCTCAAAATAAAGGTAAAGATAGTGAGTGATATGTAACTTATTAAATGCTCCTTTTAAAAACAACATTTCATGTC